ATAATATCTATAAATTGAAGCTAAATTATTTTTATCACCGCAGTTCCCATAGCCTGATGAAAAACTGCCACCCAGCCCTCCACCTATATCTCAGGATAAAAAAAAAAAAGAAAATGAAAATCTATCATCGGCCCAAAATTCTCTGGATGCCAATGCCCAGGGAGAGCAGCACGATGGGGCCAGGACCCCTCTGCCCTCCCTGGAGCCCCCCTGGCATCCCTCGCATCCCCAAAAGTGAGCTCCCCACCGCCTCCGGCCCCGTGGCCACATGCTGGGGCCTCTTGTGTCCCCAGCGCAGTTTGGAGAAGAGGATTTGGGGGCAGGTTCTGGTTTCTGCATGGGGCAGGGCGGAGCGTGAGTGGGTTTGGGAACCAGGGGGGGTGACGGGGACCTGTCAGACCCCCGGTGCCACTTTGCTCGCTGCCCTCCTGTGCTGTCTGTCCTGCCGACGTCCGTCTGCACTCACCGGCGGGGGGGGCGGGCCCCTGTTGCCTCTTGCTGAAGCTCCTTGAGGTATGGCCATGGCGCTGGCTGTAAACCCCTGCCCTCCACAGGCTCAGGGAGCCTGATGAATGGTGTCGCTGGGCTTATCTGCACCGATCTCTTAATTACTTCGCCTCTAAGCACTCAGCCAATTATGCCAAGGTCTGAAGAGCCCAAGGCCCAAAGTCCCTGGGCAGGGATGACGGAGCTGCGGCAGCAGGACGAAGGCTGGGGCTCCAGGGCATCCGAGGGGCAGGCAGCCAAATCCTACCCCGGCTGCTGCAAATTAAAGTGGCTCCTTAGGTGCTGGAAGCGGTGGCCATACAGCCATCACCAAGGCTCGGGGACGTCAGCCCCAGCGTGAGCTCTCCCCGAATCTCATAGGGGTTTGGTAGAAAGGGCTTGGCGCAGGACACGGAGATGGGCCTGACACTGTGTTGACTTCTTCTTGGCTGATTTGTATTTGTGTACCCCATAATAGCGGAGACCACAACCCAACCCAGCCCCCTTCCTATCCCCTGTTCTGGTTGCAGATGCCCAAAGCTGAGGAGGAGACCCCAAAGATGGAGATGGTGCAACTTCTGAGCCCCACACTGATTTAACACTGCCCAAGCCGGGGAGGAACTGCACCTTTTGGCTCCGTGCCTCAGTTTCCCCATCCCCATGCAGTGATAGCTGCCTCCCTTCCTGCACAAAGTGATGGGGGCTACCCCCCTTCCTTTGCAGGGCTCAAAGAGGGGCACCAGGACACCCCTGGGAGGGAACCGGTCCCTGCGTGGGGGCTGCCGTGCCCCGGGGCTCCCATGGCCACCCCCAGGCCGCGCTCCCTGGCCCAGGGTGAGCTTTGGCAGCCAGCACGGGTCCTCTCCAGCAGCTGCCGTGACAGACAGCTCCTGAACCAGCCCCCCTCTGCAGTGCTGCTCTAAAATAAAAATACCTCCCGCCTGCTCCGCTCCACTCCACTCCCGGCCAAACTTCCTCCAAGGGCAAGGTGGGGGGACGGCAGCCCAAAAATACACCCGGCTGCCCTCCCCAAGCCGTGCAGAGAGATGCTGTAGGGCAGGCCAACGGCCCCCCCAAAACCTTCCTGTTGCTTTTTTTCTCCCCCCACT